ATGACGTCCTCGTGCTGACGGTCTCGGCCGTCGCCGGGCGGCGCTGCGAGCGGGCGATGGCCGCGGGCTGGCCGGAGGTGGGCTACGTCTGCCAGCCCGCGAAGCGCCTCCTGCGGCGCGGCGGCGGCAGCGTGGGGTGGTGTGGGCTGCTGTTTCACCTCGATTCGGCCGAGGTGAGCGTGGAGTGGGCCCGCATGCGGGCCGCCGTCCGGGCGATCGAGGCCGCCACCCGCCAGGGCTCCATCGCGGGCCTCGTCGGCTTTACCCATCGCCTGATGGATGTGCTGCGGCAGCGTACCCCTTTCACGGCGTTTTGCGCCCGCATTAACAGCAAACCCCGCGTCGTTCAGACCGTTTATGAGATGGGCCTGATCTGGTCGAGGCGGGTTCTACGGCAGGTCAAACTCACCCTGAGAAAGGGCCTACTGCTCGATGGCGGCGGCGCGATCCTCGCGAGGCCGCTGAACGCCTTCCTTCGACTTCTCCGGCGGTTATGCGCGCAGCGCCACGCCCGTCTGGTCGCTTGCAATTCGCGAAGCGCGATCGCCTCGGCCGAGGTGGATCTTTGCGCGGTGTTCGCCCTTCATCGGGTTCTACAGGGCGCGCTGCGCTCGCTGTTGGCGAATGGCCCGGCGGCGCCGCATCCTCGCGGCGTGGCCGCCCTTTCCCATCCGTGGGATGCCGACCCCAACTTTCAAATTCAACCGTCAGGCCGCTCTCGGGGGCGATCCCATCGCATCCGCGAGCGCCGTGTGTGGTGGGTGTTAACGAAATTCGTCTCGCAGCGCCTGAGCCGCTTGCTCAGGCGCGCTGCGCGTACGACTAAGACGGATTCCCATGTCGATCCGGATGGCGGTGAGGTCTCTTCTACGGGCCTGTCCGTGGTTGAACTGTTGGTCGCTACTGGCCCTCAATCGATCTCACGCAGCGCGGTAGCGGCGCTTAAGCTTTAAATGGAATGAACGAGAATGATGAAGCTCGAGTCTGCGTTCTTTTTATTATTATTATTATTTTTACATTTGAAATGAGGGTTCTATCTCAACAGCATATATTGAAGCTCTATCGTGGTTTCTCCTTAACTTGCACTTTACTTACTATTATTTGAATTTCAACACTTACGAATTGTGCGCATTACCCGGGCTGATGTCGTCGATGCCACAGGTGTTTTTTTTCTTTATAGATTATTTGCCGATCTATTTCGGTAGATTAGAAGCCCTGGTTCTAGGCATAAAAGAACATGTGATTTTTTATTATCTGCTGAATAAATAAAATCCATCCCAACTAAAGCGTTGCATTTTTTTGAGTCTAAAGCAGCCGTAAGAAAGCAGGAATGCAGCTTCCAACTGACGTTGAGGCGGTCAACACCCTTTTTGCCTTTACTTTTTTTTTACCCAGTATTCGATTTTAAGGGCTGTTTGGGAAGTCAAATGCCGATAAGTATTAGCGAAAGAAACCGGAAAGTCTCCAGACAGCGTCGGAGCTCCAAAGACGCTAGACCGAGCGTCTCGGTTTCTCAAAGGCGAAGCTCCAGCGATAAGAAAGCGACCAGGACCGGGAGGAGTTCTGTACATTCCACACCGGACCCGAAGAAAGGCCCTGGGTTGTCCTCCAGGGACTATGCCCCTGGGGGGGCGGCGCTTGTCCCGGCCGCGGTTGCGGCCTTGTCCGAGAGTCCGGAGCGCCGCGCCACCGGCAGCCGCACCCCGTCCTCGGCGATGAAGAAGAAAGACAAGGGGCTGCGGAAGAAAGACCCCAAGG